GTATCTAGGTTGCTTTAATTTGAGAGGTAAATAAAATAAAGAGGACTTAGAATAATCTCTTAAATAGAAATGATGAATAGTTGCTCTGTTGTAATTCCTTTTAAGTACCTAGTTTTCAGCCTTGAATTCTCCCGAGTTTTGGATACGATTGTTTTGTTATAAGGATTTACTCTGAACTTGAAACTCGTGGGTAGCATATGCTTGATCTAAGTCTAGGTAATTGACGGATATGATATGAGAAGGTCTGAGCTGCTATTTATCTTGTTCCAAGTGACACTAAAGTTCTGGAGATTTGCTTTCTGAAAAACACAAAAATGCTATATGATGAGTTCCTGTATGACAAAGCTTGAATTCCTACCAGAGCCATACATGTTATTTAGGCTAGGAAAACCTCCACATATATGCTGCTTGCTTTTGCATTCAGTTTTATCAAGCTTTGTTGACACTTATGAGAGATTTATCATGCTCTTAAAATCAAGATCACGTACACACCACCCAGATATGCACTACTCCTACACTGGGATAGGCGCAAAAACATGCCTTCAATCTAGATCCACCCAAAAATGTTTTACTCCTACACTAGGAGTGAATACAAAAACATGTTCGATAGGTTTTCCATCCACTCAAAATAAATGCTCCAAAGTTCTTGTTGATATCTCTCTCAAAGTTTTGTTGCAGAAAAGAGACATGGGCTATGCAAAAGTTATTCATGAAAAAAAAACAAAAAAAATAGTTGAGAAAAAAATAGACAAGTGTCCGAGATATCTAAAACAATAGGTACTCAGATGTCCGCCTGAAAAAAAAAGAGATGAATAAGATAGCCCCTGTTCTCTAGCAAATGTTTCCAAGTTTCAAAAGAGAGACAAGTTTTCAAGGAGCAAAGTAGAATTAGGTTAGCCGCCATATATATCCACCATTTATCCACACACATGCACATCTTGATTTGATTGTATGACTCAACTCTCTTTGGGTCCATGGTTTGACTTTACAATATATACACTACAAGTAGGCTCTAGCTTTCTCCCTACCTATGAACTCCACATAAGCCTTAGTGGTAGAAAGAGAAAAGACATAACATATTTATTGCCTTAGTGAGGATCCATAAATACCATATATATTGAGAGACTTGAGAGTGTCATACAATGGAATCTCTGAGTTTTATTTTGAAAACTTATAAAAACTCTAGAATAATGGTGAAACAAAGAACTTGAGACATAGTGCTTGACTTGATCGTTCTGTCTTTCAATTGCTCAAGACCCAAGTGAAGGCTAAGAAGCCCCATGGTTGAAGGTAATTTGGGTAAGTTTGAAAGTCATATCAGTTTATTCTAATTTGGAGGAGAATTTTTTATTGAACACATGTATACCTTTGAGGCGTGAAAGTATTGTAGCAACTCCTGATCCATTGCTGAGTTTAGCTTTGCTTAGGGACTAGCAAAGGTTAAGCTTGGGGGAGCTTGTTGACGGTCACTAACACCAATTATAAACCGTCAACATAACCTGCATTTATATTTAATTCCATCACCAAATATAGGTATAGGGGTTTAAACTAATGAATTCCATGAGCTTTGGTGATTTCATGACTTCAGGAGGATTTATCTAGAAAATAGCTCTTGGGACCACTGTCATACACTCCAAACAATCAAACCAACGACAACAAGTAATTCAACCCGCGAAAACTGCGAAAGACAACTCTAGAAGGTTCTAGAAGACACCACGCCAAAGCTTGGGCCAAACGGCCACGAAAGTGGGCTGGCCGGCCTAGCCCATAGGCCAGCCTACCACGGAGCCTGCTCACCCACCACTGCCTTATACTCGTTCCTAAGATATACACCGTTGATTTTAAGGCGGTTTTAGGTCGGTTTATCCAACAGTGATCGATGGAGTTAACGAGCATCGATGACGTGGTGATTCCTTGCCCACTACTCCACCTTGATTCCTTGCCCCCTAATCCACCTCGGCCTATATATAGCAGCCCCTACCCCCTCCCTAGAGCCATCCTGAAACCCTAATTCATATTCTCCTCGTTAGGATCAGAGCCAGCTATCAAGAGAAGATTAGTCCTCCATAGGATCTAGTCTTGTAAATAATAGTGAGATAGAGTGTGAGGAAAGAGTTTGGAGGAAGTGCCGGCCTGTCGGTGCTCTCTCTACGGCTTGTACCCTGGCGGAATCAAGTTCTACTTGAGCTTGCTTCTGAGGATTCTCTGGTAATCGACTTCTAATTCAAGTAAGCATCATGTTTATATTGTTCATCAGGTTCATAACTCTTTGAGTGCTTTAATCTATAGGATGCTCTAGGTTAAAGTAGTAATTGTAGGTGTAAGCGTGGTGCTTAGATCGGGTTACTTGTAGATGTACCCTATATTCCGGATCGGTGGTAGCTCGCGAGGGTGACTCTTATAGCATCATTGAATCCATTGTAGTCCACCTCCCATTTGTAGGCCTAGCAGGATTTAGTTACTACAAAAAACATACTCTCCTTGTGTTTTCCTTAGTAATATCCCCAGTTTAACAATAGAAGACATAGCTTATCAAAGTTAGAACTAGAAGATCTTTGTGATCTCCTCTATACTCCTATTATCTTAAGTCTTGTTGCTACTCCGGATTAAGTTGGACGTAGTTACTCTCACACGCTTCCCTGTGGATACGATACTTGGAATACTTCCGGGTAAAAGCTACAGCGGTATCCGTACTCTTGCGGATTTATCTGTGTGCGTTAAATATACCAACACCGACCTATCTCGGTATATAAGGGATAAGGTCGGACCCTATAGGGGGAGGACGATCCAAGACAGATCATTCCATTCCTCATTGATCCACTCCTGCTCGGCATCGAGAGCAAAGCAACCCAGAGAGGGGCACCGAGAGCTCCTCCACCGCACCCGTCGTCTTCCTCCTCTCCGATGAGAGGAAGACTCCATCGGTGGTGAGGCAACCTCAAGATTAGCACCGAGCTAACCCCCTACCAAATCTCTCTTCCTCCTATACACTCTGTTGTAACCTCCTGATTTTGGGTGCTCTTGAGTATAAGGATCATCAGCTGTTGGATGTAGGGCACCGATCGGCCCGAACCAGGATAAACCATTGCGTCCTCTCTGTGATTCTTATATTCTTGAGTCCACCTGAGCCACCAAAGACACGTACTCTGACACCGACTCGAACAACAATGCTTGCCGTGGTTCCGACCCCGCGACAACTGGCAATAGACTCGGTTCCCCCATCACTCGAGCACGGTCAGTCTCATGTCATGCCACCACAGGCGCTGCAGACCACCACCTCAGAGTTGACGCGCCTACGCAAGACGAGGTGGGCGGTCTGCTTGGCTTTGGTTCGGCCGAGCCCATGGCGGATGTAGACATGTTCAGTATGCTGCCTCGGGAGGACCACACGATCGACGTCAATGACAGCTCCGCCGCATGCCACCTCAAGAGCTTCACCTGGCGCGTGCTGAAGAAGGTTGACTCTCCGCTTATTCGTAAGCCTCCCAAGCAGCCTCCTACTAAGCCGGTGCTGCCACTGCGGAGCAAGCGGCTGGTGACTCAGAGCCTCTCTCGAGTACCTGCTTCCAAGCAAAGTGAGGTGCTGATCATACAGCGTATGGGCCACACTAAGGGTCCATCAGCGCCATCCGCGTCGGAGCTGAAGGCCTTTGACAAGATCTTCGACGGCAGCCTGACTGCGTCCAACATCAAAGCGCTGGACACGCTCTTCCCAGACGGTGGAAAGGGCTCGTCCAGACAGCCACGAAGATGCAAAGCCACCTCCTAGGTCGCACCGCTACGTCGGTATTGGCTATTTTTTATTTTTGTAATATCAAAACTTGAGGTCTTTTGCTAGTATGGTCCAGCTACGGTTGTTTTAGATCGACCTCCTTCGACGCCCGATAGAAGCACGTGGTCTTTATGATTAAACTCTTCATAATACAATGATACGGAAATCTTTTGCGTATTGGAGAAAAAGTTAAGGATTTTCTAAACTAAGAACTCCCCATCAATTGTTTTTGATGTCTTTTCTAGGAGCATTGGCAGATATATATAGAGAGGAGAACCCCTACCTCCGTATCAACTAGCAATACGCTACTAATTGATATTGCACTTTCTACCTATACTTATGGGCTTAAATATTAAAGTAATTAGGGAGCAATGGTATTGAGCCTTTGAGATCTACTAGAATTTTTGCATACGGCCTTAGGGGGACTAGACCATGTAAATTCTAACGAGACTGAGTAAGCTCGTAGAACACATAATAATAATAGAAAACGATTGATATAAAGCTTGCACAACACATAATAAATTAATAATAGAAAAAATAGAAACTGGGAACAGTGGAACACACGATACTACAGAAAAGAAGCAACCCATATATATAAATAAATAACATGCGAAAGTAGACCAGAAAGGAGGCCACTGCTTTCTCTGGTGATGTACGCCTGCAGGCACTAAGGCCAGTCCCAATAGTATATTGATGATGATTTTTATCCTCATTAAATGACTTGTCACATAAGTAAAACGCTGACGTGGCAACGTAATTAATGAAGAAAGAGAGCAAAAATCCTAGAAATGGTTTCCTCGTGAAGAAATCAGGTATTCTCTTGACCCAATGCACCAAGAAACCATGAAATTGTTATTGGGGAGAAACCACCAGTTTCTAGGGAGCTCGTGCCGTACTTCCATTAGAGGAACAAGATAGAGTTGGGAGAGAGAAAGAAAAAATAATTATTACTCATAGAAACTATGGATTGAAAAACAGTACTTTTTGGTGCGGTATCCTATGTTATAGAAACTATTAGTTATTTTATTGGGACTGCCCTAAATTCAAGAAGGTGGGGGCATAGCTCAGTTGAGTGGGTCCACGTCGTTAAGGTCTTCTAGGTCCAGGAGCCGGTACCCGTGGCCCACATTCCCAACGTACCCTGCGTGGGACAGGAGAGCCCACAGGTGCGTTATGAGCTCTCCGTTTCTTGGTAGATGGGTCTTATGCTTGGCTGCTCTTGTGGACGCTACCAAGCGCAGGAGGAATCCCGTCCAAAATTTCGCCAGGTCCCTCCAGAGGCCTTCCTGGTGCTACCGAGCTTTGAAGCCATCTTAACTATGGTGTTGTCAAAGCGATCGTTGTCTCCATTGGGTCCGCCATTGTTAGGCTCTTCATTGTGGGGTTCCTCGTCGACGACTCTAAAGTTGTCACCATTGTTGCCTTCCTCAGGATCTTGATCAATAACCCCATCTGCTTGGAACATTTGCTCCTCAGTGGCTATCTGAACAGCACCGTCTTGTTGCTGGTTTTCATCCACAGGCCGGGCTTCGCCTTCGCCAGGCCTTTGTGTTTTGTGTTTGGCAGCAGCGATCTCCACGAGTTTATCATAGATTGTTTGCAAGCTTACATGCCGATCAGCCGAAAAGATAGCACATTTTGTTTCCCAGCGTACCTCGTTGAATACTCGGTCAGCAACAAGGCCATTCTCTGGTACCATCCTCTGGATAAGCAGAGACGCACAGTAGTTGGATATGCTGACGGCCGTTATGTAATTTTCCCACAAATCTCTGGAAAGTTTCGACTCCTTGATCAGTGGCTTTGATCGCATCCAGTAAACCTGACGCTGCCTGGCATCATCCGTGAGTTTAATCTCACAGACGCCTGTCGCAATATGCCAGAGCAGTATTCTGTGGGTGTCAGCCTCCAGTTCGCATGTACACGCCAGGTTACTGCAAAGGTGTTGATTTGATCCGAAGGCATTTTCGAAGTAGTTCTCCAACCTCTGCTCATCTTGCTGCAGCAGCTTGAATGGATCAAATATAGCCTTCTGTACCTCTGCCCTCAGCTTGACTGTCGAAGTATTCCCCCATGTATTGCGAGCTGAAATCAAGAGATTGTACTGACGGATCCGACGTTTCCATTTACCTGTGGGCATAAACCACAACAGGAGCCTCCAAAACTTTTCAGCGAGCCGCCGCCGCAAACGTTGATGCTTGACATACATGCAGATCATCTGAACCTTGGTCCATGGCGCGAACACATATATATAGATTTCCCACAGCTCTTTGGCAACAATGAGGGCAATGAACAATCGGGAGGCAAACACTCCATGACGATGCGGTTCTTGTCACTGGGATCAATTCTCTGGGGTATATCACCAACAGGGTACGCGATGTACCCGACGGCCAGAATCAGCGACAGAGACAGAATCATCCTCAGGAACGGGAACCCACCGGCGAAGATTGCAGCGGCATGCCTGTTGTAGAATGTGTCCCGGAGGAAGGACAGTTCTACCTCAGTGACACGGAATGCCCTCTCGTATTTCTCCGTGTTCTCCACGAGGTACTCAAAGACAAGCCGCCTCTTCTTATCTCGAGCTGCTACCACCGTGTCCTCGTGTATGGGGAGGTCGTAGAACTGGCGACGAAGCAGCTTGTGAAGGGCAAACGAGAGACATGCATCTTTCAGTCGGTTCTTGGCGTCTCCGGTCTTGCCCAGCAAACTACTCTCGCCGCCGTCTCCGCCGACGACCCATATCTTCTCCACGGTGACGAGGTCTTTGTGTCCTGGGCTGAGCTGAACCCTGTAGCTGCCAGATCGGAAAAAAATCCAATGCATACTGGATGCACCCAACGTCCATGCAAACACAGCTTTGATGTGCGGCACGTGTCCAGCAACAAGGATCCGACGCATGCAGCCCGCAAACCACGGACGAGAGGCCGGAGCCGCGAGCGCATGAGAGGCAAGCGGGTGCGCGGCGTTGAATTGGTCAAACTGGACACGTGGCAACTATTTATGGCATGTATACAGAGAGCACGGTGAATACAGTATGCATCGGTTTTTTTCCGCCAGATCCGACTTTCCACTCCTGTTGAATTGAAGAATTTCCCTGGAGAGCTTTATCTTCCCCATGGACCAAGTAGTTGTACCCGCACATGGTGGAAGAAGAACTGGCGTTGCCGACGTTGCCGCTGTTGCCTGCAGAGAGCGTATGCTCATACCTCATGTAGTCGATCTGTGACGAGCCTCGTGTTGCCTTGATTCTCTTCGGCTGCCTTTTGTCGGAGGAGAAGAAATAGGAGAGCACCGGGGCTACATTGAGTGCCCAGATCAACCACAGAGGGATCTTGAGATGGGAGACGGTCTGCACGCGGAGGAGATTGGCCGCCCACAACGACGACATGATGTCAAGCAAAGGGATCTGCTTGGACCTGCTGTACGGACGCCCGACATTGACGCTGCACTGCAGGGTGGCCAGGAGCACCGCCCACACCTGGAAGTAGTCGTTCACCCGCGCCGCCGATAGCTGCATCTGCCCAATGGTGTAGTGCACCATGTTGTAGTTGAGCAGGGAGAGGACCTGGACGGTGGCCGTCGTGAACCTGCTGGTGTAGACTCGCGCGCCGGAGGACTCGATGAGGAACCGAATCACCAGTAGCAGCGCAGTGATCACCACCCACAGCTCCACGCTCGCTCCTCCAGTGACTTTGTCGAGCTTAAAGAGCCTTTTCATCGCCGAAAATATTGTGCCTGCAACTGCAGCTGCAGAGGACGACCCCATCTCAAATTCTTTCGATTCAACACCTCCTCTTACATGTTGGCTACCTAGCTAGATCAGCAACGCTCGTGATTTCGTGTTCACTGGGATGCCAACAACGAACATATGAGATCGGAGTAACTGACTTGCAATGAGGGATTTCAAGCCAAGTCCGCCGATTGGAGTCTTATGGTGATACGGAACGATGGATCTTGACTCACTGTTGAGTCTTCGTTCAAACCGTGGGAAGGCGTGTGGGGACAGGGGCCATCTTTTTTTATTCAGTAGCAAAATTGTCCATGCGTTGCAACGGGTTGCAACGGGTGAAAGAAAGTTGTCAATGTTAATAGAAAGTAAGGACGAAAACGTTACATATATATTTATCTTTTATATTATATCATTCTATAAAATTTAAAATCTATAATTTATTTTATGGTGACCATGACATCCACAATATAAATTCATATCGATGGACATGGGCCGGACGTCCGGGCGCTAGTCTTACCCATAAATTAATTTTATTCCTAATCAAAGCTACATCATGTATTTAGTGGTGGGAGTGCTTATTTATGTGAAAGAATCTAGAGTTCAAATAGCAATAATATTATATTTATTATTTTATTTTTATTTATAGAAAAGTTTTGGTTCCTCTGGACCTGAGCTTGCTGGTTAACGTAGTCCCCAACCAGGTAGGCCATGGCTGCCGGCAACGCCATGGATTGAAGTGTTTCAAACTTATGTTTTAAGTGTTTTATCTGAATGTTGCATATGTTGCAATGGTAATATATGCTTGTTGCAAGCGTATATTGCAAGTGTTTTAGACGTTTGTTTCAAACGTTTCATCTCGATGTTTTAAAAGTTAATCTGGTGTTGCACATGTTGCAATGGCTATACTCGCATGTTTCAAGTGTTTCATCTGTTTTCAGATATATGTTCCAAATGTTTTATTTGGATATTTTAAAAGTAGATCTAGTGTTGCAGGCCACTTTCTGCTTGCTTTTGCGCTGGGGTGTCGTCGTGGTTCACGCGCCAGCGCTTGAGGCCTACAGACACCTCCACAGCACGCATCCACAAGTAAGGGCAGGTGGGCGCGGGGCACGGTTCCGACGTGCGGACGCGAGAGGGGCGAGGGGGCACGGTTCTGCCATGTGCGGCGCGGGCCGCGATTTCGGACTCTGGCGCAGGTTGGGAACAGGACGGAGCACGTGGGATGCGATGCGGGCACGGGGCGCAGGAGCTGAATCCGGACGTGGGCCTAGGACCGGACTCCGGGCGCTAGCCTTACCTATAAATTAATTTATTCCTAATCAAAACTACATCAATAATTTAGTGATGGGAGTATTTATTTATAGGAAAGAAACTAGAGTTCAAAGAGTAATAATATTATATTTATTGTTTTATTTTTATTTATAGAAAAGTTTAGAGTTCAAAGAGCAATAATATTATATTTATTTTTTTAATGTTTATATAGAAAAAACAGGAGAAAGAAAAAGAACAAGGACAGAACCGACGGTAAAAATAGAAAAGAAATTGTGGGTTGCTAGGCTGGTGTTTCCATAGTTGGCTGAACGTGTGGTTAACGGACACGGAAAGCCACTTGGACGGGTGGTCAGCGGAATTTTTTATGGCAGGAATACATAAACAGTAGCCGAGTCGATGTCTTAGTTGAACCAAAGATTTTGTGGCATAAATTTTCCTAGTCAAAGCTACATCAACAATTTAATGATGGGAGTTTTTGTTTATAGGAAAGAATCTAGAGTTCAAAGAGTAATAATATTATATTTATTGTTTTATTTTTATTTATAAAAAATTTTAGAGTTCAAAGAGCTATAATATTACATTTATTATTTATTTTTGATGTTTATATAGAAAAAACAGGAGAAAGAAAAAGAACAAGGACGGAACAGACGATAAAATAGAAAAGAAATCGTGGGTGGCCAAGCTGGCCTTTCCATGGTTGGCTGAACGTGTGGTTAACGGACACCGAAACCCATTTGGACGGGTGGTTAGCGGAATTTTTTTTGGCTGAAATACGGTAGCCGAGTCGATGTCTTAGTTAGACGAAAGATTTTATGGCAGAAATTTTCCTAATCAAAGCTATATCAACAATTTTGTGATGGGAGTATTTATTTATAGGAAAGAATTTAGAGTTCAAAGTGCAATAATATTATATTTATTGTTTTTTTTTTATTTATAGAAAAGTTTAGAGTTCAAAGAGCTATAAGATTACATTTATTATTTATTTTTGATGTTTATATAGAAAAAACAGGAGAAAGAAAAGAACAAGGACGGAACCAACGATAAAAATAGAAATGAAATCATGGGTGGCCAGGCTGGCGTTTCCATGGTTGGCTGAACTTGTGGTTAACGGACACTGAAACCCACTTGGACGGGTGGTTAGCGGAATTTTTATGGTAGAAATACGTAAACGGAAGCCGAGTCGATGTCTTAGTTTTATGAAGCTATTTACGAAAGCCCAGATGAATGTTGTTTCATGCAACAACACAATTTCATGACTAAAAAAGATCTCCGAACATAAAAAAATTATAGTGCATGTGCGTTTTTTTAATAATTGTGAAATGTGCTCGTGTGTTTGCACAAAACAATACGTCTTGGATCGAACTTCGTATCTGTTTATGCCGAATTGGATCTCGAATCACACACCAACAAGGGCTACAACATCCAAGATCGCACATGACCTCTCATACACAACGAGCAACTTTAAGTTTAGTGAAACTGATCTAGAAATCGATTAGGCCGATTTGAAGCCCGTCTTATGTCGATAGATCTCGAGAACACCTAGGAAGACCCGTCAGGGAGATGCACACCAAGGTTATCCTAGGGTCGACAAGGCCACCTAGAATGCCGTTGCATCTCGCGAAGACACACGTCAAACAACATGAGATTGGAAAAGTAGGGTAAAAAGGGTAATAGATGTAAAAATTTTGATTGGATGTTGGATACCTCAATCGGCCATGATCATCCAATATATATAAATGGGTGATCTTATTCTAGTAGAAAACCTTTTAAAGGTGTAATCTTTAAGTTTCCCATGAGTCTAAAGCAGTTCAGATCAGAATCCAACACGTTGTACCCGAATAGGGTTTTTTTAGGTTCATCGAAACTTCCGATGTAGGATGAACCTGGGAACCCAACATGTTTTCTTTAGTTTTATCGGATGTTTCGATGTCCGTCGGAACTTCCGATCCTTACAACTTCTGGGATATAGGTAGGAACTTTCGATGTTGGAGCATCTTTCGGAGCGTGTAATTTTTTATTCACTGGGCAGTTACAGTGAGGCCTCCTGAGATGTTGACAGAGCATTCTAGTGCTACTACAGAGTTTCCAGCTTATAACATGACTTAGATGCTCCGCCACAGTGCAGTGAGGACACCTAGTCAGCCAAGCCGCCGCACAGAGGTGCCAGAGTCTGTAGCCCAGCAGGATGAGATCATCAGGGGCATTGCAGCGACAAAGGAGGAGCAGTTAGATTCTCAGCAGGAGGGTATGGTCGAGAGCGACCCCAGTGACAGTTCAGATGATGACTACCAGACTATCCCTCAGATGCCTCCTCGATGACATGACGGTGAGGCCAGTGGCTCTAGCTTAGCTCCACCATAGCCACCACAGACAGATCCCGCTCTACTTGCTATTCTTGAGCGGATGAGGCAGGATCAGGCTCGCCAGACCCAGGAGACCATAGCTACACTTGCATAGGTTCAGGCCGAACAGGATGAGTTCTAGCGACAGCAGCAGGCTATCCAGCAGCAGCAGGCCATGCAGTAGCAGCAACTCCTCATTCAGCAGCAGTTACTTGGATTTATGCAGCATGTAGTTACTGCTATTGGGGCTCCACCACCATAGCTTACACCCCAGATCAGCCAGCCTACTACCACTATAGTGACTCTAGCTTTACAGTCCAGTGGGTTCTAGAGTCAGGGACAACCAGCTCCACAGTTTGATTCACCTATAGAGCAGGTGTCCCAGTGGTTTCCTCGCCAGTGCTAGCCCCGCATTTCACACCTCTACATACGGACTTCACACCGGCTCCAAGTTCATCGTTGCTTGTGCCAGACACCCCAGTCTCCAGGAGTCTCGGTGCGACATTCAGTGAGTTGAAAGGGCAGCCTACACCGCCAGAGTTGCGAGTTCTCGCTCCTACTACAGTTGCTCCTGTTACCGGTACCACAGAGACGCTCCCTTCATCCATTGCATCATCAGAGCCACCTGTTTCAGTGATAACTGTAGAGTCCCAGGCAGCGCCAGTTCCACAGTAGACCCAGACCGCTTCAGCATCACTTCTAGCGATAGAGGGTCATACAGCTCAAAGCTCAGGATCAGAGGATGATGGCACACAGTTCCAGATCGCTCACCGCACCTCAGCGCTCGACTCGTCTGCTCCAGCCCCGCTGACAGACCCTTAGGTTTTGGTGTTTAACGCCAAAGGAGGAGAGGGATCGAGTATGATAGACATAGGGGGAGCTTATTTATTACATTTGGCTTTTTATGTGTGATACATTATTATGCATTCATGTTTACTTTCATGCATTGAACTACATACGTGTGATCGTGATATTAATGTGATATATGATATTTATATGATATGTGACATGTGTGCTCTCTACTTTGATCTTGATATATGTCATGTCACTTCATTATGCTCATTTGGTTTGCTTCCGTGTTTTTACTCCGATGCAAATGAGCTTTATTTCTTGTACTCATACTTATTTCATATCTATTGAGTATATCATGTTGGCTTGGGTCATATAAGCTTGCCTAACTCTTTTGTTCTTATTGTCACAAGCTTATATGAACCAAGCATGTTGAAAACCTCATCTTTTTTATATACTCGAGGATGTATTGTCATCAATCACCAAAAAGGAGGAGATTGAAAGCATCTAGGCCCCTAGTTGGGCTTCGGTGATTAATGACAATACGTCATTACTATGACTAACGTGTGTTTTATAGAGGCAATTAAGTTAGGTCATGGTAATAGCAAATTGATTGGGCAATCATGGTTGTCA